GGCAACAGCAACATCAGCATTATCAGCACCACCAACAGCATCATCGTAATCATAATCATCATCATCAACAACAACAGCATCATCATCACCGTCATCATCACCATCAATTGCAGCATCATCAGCATGAGTCATCATCATCAGCATAATCATCATCATGAGCATCAGCAACACCATCATCATCAGCATGGCCGTCACCATCCGCATCAGCATCCGTACCAGCACATTCAGCAGCATTAGTATCGTCAGCATGAGCAAACATCACCAGCATCAGCATCATCGTTAGCAGCAGCATCCGAATCATCATCATCAGCATCAGCAGCACCCTAACCAGCAGCATCATCAGCAGCATTATCAACATCTTCATCACCATCACCATCACCATCTGCATCATCAGTCTATCATCATAATCAACATCAACAGCATCATCCTCAGTTGTCCTCCTCCTCCTCCCCCCTCCTCCCCCTCCTCGTCCTCATCATCATCATCATCATCATCATCATCATCATCATCCTCTTCTTCCTCCTCCCCCTTCTCCCCTTCCCCCCCTCCTCCCCCTCCTCCTCCTCCTCTTCCTCCTCCTCGCCCTCCCCCCTCCCCCTCTTCTTCTCCTCCTCCTCATCATCATCCGCCTCCTCTCCTCCTCCTCCTCCTCCTCCTCCTCCTCCTCCTCCTCCTCCTCCTCCTTGTCCTCCTCATCATCATGATCATCACCATCATCCTGGCGCGGCGGAAGCGGACCGTTCCCCGCCGCGCGGCCGCGCCGCCCGCCATGTGTTCCAGGGGCACCGCGGCGATGATGCGGGCGAACGCGACGACCTGAGCCGCCGCGCCCCCGCGCCTGCGCAGGCGCCCAGCCGGCCAGCTCCGCCGCCAGCCGGGCGGCGGTCGCTGGGGCCTCCTCGCCGCGCGCGGCCGCGCGGAGCTGCCGAGCGACGGCGCGGTGAAGCTCCACGCGGAGCTCGGCGCCCCAGCGCCGCGTCAGCGCGCTGGCCGCGGCCGCCGCTTCCGGGCCGTCGCCCAAGCTCTGCGCCTGGTCGCGCGCGAACCAGCGCAGGTGCCGCAGCGCCGCCTGCCCGAGGCGGCTGGCGGTCTCCTGCGCCAGCGGCAGCAGCGGCCAGGGCGCGCAGTGCCCTGGGCAGCGGCGCCGCACGTCGGCCTCTGCGGCGGCGTTCACCGCGCCGTCTCCGTCGGCGGCTGCGGCCAGGGCCCGCGCGTCGCCCGGTCGCACCCCGCCGCCCGGCTTGCTGAGCGGCGTCACCCAGGACAGGGCGAGCGCGTCCGCGGCGCCAGCTGGCAGGTCCCCCGCGGCAAACTGGCCGCAAATCTTGCATGGGGGTTCCAAGGCGGCTGGCTCCGCCAGCAACACCCACCAGCTTCGAAGCGGCCTCCGCCCACGGCAGCCCCGCCCCCGAGGCGGCCGCGGGCCCGCCGCGGGCCCTGGGCTCGAGGGCAGGCGCCCCGCGCGGCTCGAGGGGGAGCGCCGCCGCCGTCTCGGGCGCGAGGGGCGCCAGTCCGCGAGGAGCGCCGCCGCCCGGGAGTATTCCGCGGCCAGCGCCTTCCGAATCACCGCGTCTGCGAAGTGATTCTCGCCGCCCTGGCGCTCCCCAGCGGCCTCCCCCCGCGCGCGCGCGTCAGGCTCCAGGCAATCTGCCGCGCCTCCGCCAGCAGGTCTTCCCAGGCGCCCCTGTGGAGTCGAGAACACCGCTGGCGAATCAGCCCGGCCCGCGCGGGCGGCTCGTTTCCCGGCTGGCGTCTGCCGCCAGCGCCGCGCTTCAGCGGCGCCGAAGAAGGAGCCTCTCGCGGAGCAGCAGGACCTCCTTGCAGAGAGCCTCCGTGGCCGGCGCAGCCGCGGCCCGTGCCCCGCCGGGCACGAAGCAGAGCGCAGGGCACTCAGCCGCCATTTCGCCCAGCAGGTCCAAGGCGTCTGTCAAGTCCAGCCCAGCAGTCCGCCGCGAAGTCTTGGAGGGGCTGCTGCGGCGGCGGCGGCGGCAGCTCGGGCCTGGCCTCGCCCCGCGGCGCGGCGGGCGGCGCGTTTCCCAGCGGAGGCGGCGCTGGGGCGGCGCCAGCCGCGGCGCCGGCGCCGGCGAGGCGGCCGCTGCGGCGGCGGCAACGGGCGCCACGGCCGCGGCGGGCGGCGCCGGGCGGCGGCTGCGGCGCCGGCCTCGGTGCAGCCCCGGCAGAGCAGCTCGTCGCAGGCTTTGCAGTGCCTCTGTGCCCGGCCCCGCCCCCGCAGGCAGCGCGGGCCTCGCGGCGCAAGGCCCGCGCTGCGCGCAGCGGCCCTTGGCAGCCTGGGCAGGTCAGCGCCTCCCCCGTCGCCGGCCCGGGATGGCTGGCCTCGCCGACCCGCGCGCCGGCGTAGCCGCAGAGTCGCCTCAGCGGGCGTCCGCCGGGCTGCGGCTGCGGCGGCGGGCCCCCGGGCCGCGCGCCGGCGCGGCGGACGCCTTGCAGGCGGCGCGCGGTCTGGAGGAGGGCGGCGTCGTCCGCCTCTGCCCAGTCCAGT